TGGGAGACAGAGATGAGGAATAGGATGTTTTCATTAAACTCTGAGCTGGTTGTATCACAAACAACCAATGATGTGCATTGCTTGTGCTTGCAAGTTCATGAAGATGCCTTGAATGATTCTGATGTGAATGAAAGGTCTGCTGATCAAAAAAGGCGGGAGACAACTTCAGACGCCAAAATCACAACACTTTCAGCATGGAAAGTAGTAGGTGAGAAGCATAAGAATCTACCTGATGTCATGGAACCTGGAACTGGAAAGGTTGTTAGTAGTATTGGTGATGAAAATTTAGATACTGCAACTTCAGATCCGGAAACCAAGGAATTGGCGGAGACAAGTGGTGTGAAATTTATAAGTGAAGGTCACTCAGTTGTTGAGGCTGTTCGTGTTGAAATTGATTTGCCCGTGTTTGGAGTAGCTCCAGTAGGTGATGTGGATGATGAAAGTATGATCTCTGAAATTAAAGTGGCAGCAGATGAGGTGGTTGTGGTCAAAGAGATTGTGTCTCTGGATAAAGGTTTTGAGAATATCGTTGGTGACTTGGAGGACTTGATTCAGTTGGATAATCACATGGGACATAGGACTAGTATTGAGACTGATGCTACAGAAATGAAGCAGATTGGAGGAGAGATGAATGTTACTGGTTTAGACAACGATGAAGTAATCCAGGTTGCAGTGTTAAATGGCAACCAAGAGATCAGTATGAAAGAAGCTAACGCTGAAGAGAAACTGAAAGTAGTGATGGCAGATGGAGTAAGTGGAGGAACCGATCAAACTAAGGGAGATACTGCAGGTCACACTCTTGATTTGAAAAAGGATCACTCCCTTGACAGTGCAGTATGTAAAAATTGTGAATCTGAACCTACTGTAAACCATACTCAAGCTGATGAACATTTGGAATATGGTCGATTCTATGACCACAGAGACAATGACGAATCAAATGTGACATCTGACAAATCTGCCGACCGTGGAAGCTTTGCAGCTTGTATTACAGCTGTTAGTGGTGTTTTTCAAATGACAGGTTCAAGAGGGGTGGATACTTGGTACCAACAATTGATTGTGGAATCATTTATGTGGTATTTGAAGAGCATTCTTGGTTGTGGAATCATTTACAACAGGAAAGCTCGGGAAATATGTTTGAATGGCTACACTAATGGGCATTATGGTGATGATGTGATTAATATACGAAGCACAAGCAATCATGTATTCCAAGGAGCTGGAGTTGTATTTGGGGCATCCAACAAACAGTTATTGGTGATTTTGTTAATAACTGAATCTGAGTTTTTGGTTGCAGCATATTATGCAGTATATTGGAGTTGGCTCAGAATGATCCATGAAGATATAAGAAGGCATAAGAGATTCAAAGTTGGAAGAAGGATACTATGAGATGATAGCTCAAACATGTCCAAGAATGATGGCTCTCATAAAGGAAGCACATAAATTAGATCCCAAATTTGCAGACTGTAGTTCGTCAAAGGAAGCTTGGAGTTTATGAAGATATTGATACAAGTCTTGAGTTGTGATGGCCGCAATATCCATGAAGTTGCTGCTATTATTTGTCAAAATGTTGTTGAAGTTCTTGGTGGTGATCTGAAGGTGCTTGAAATGAAGATATTCTGGAAGTGAACTGAAGCAATCACCAGGCTTCAGTTCAGGGGAGGATAATGTTGGATCAAAATTAGTTGGGTTGGGCTTTGTGTGTCAATTAAGCTTGTTATTGAGGTCTAGGGTTCGTTACGTTTGTTAGATACATTTTGGGTCCAAATAATTCAGTTTACTTGGTCAATGTTTACGTTAGAGGGAGGGTTGTTAGCTGCTGCTGAATTGTAGGATAGTGGGATAGAGGATCATCTGTTGTTTGGTGGTGAGAGGTGAGTACGAGGGAAAACTCATTGTATTTAATCATTTTGTTGGTCTTTCAATAAAATTGGTCAGTTTGCAGCCATTTGGACTCTACAGGAAAAGCATATGAAACGCCTCGCATATATGTACTGAGCTCAACGTGAAACCTGCACTTCAGAGAGCTTACTTAGCACACCTAATCCATTTGAATTTTATTTGTTTAACTTCTTGTCTTACAAATCATGTGAACTAAAAAAAAAATGGAAATTCAGATATTGTCTATCATATATCGTACACGGAATAGGATGCTCCTGAGAAGTTTTAGATTTTTAATTATTATTAGCACTGAAATCCTAAAAAGATATGACTTATATTATATATAACTAAAATATGTGAGGGGTAAGATCATAATGTACCCACGTATGTGTACTACGTGGCGCAGATACTATATTATTATTGTGTTCTCCTTGTCTCTCATAAAATAGATATACAAATAGAACTTTCTCCCCATTCAAAATCGTTTAGTTTGATGAATCGATAAAGTTCTTAATTTCTAATTGAATGGATAATTTTTTTTATAAATGATTGGTTAAATTATTTATAAAACAGTTGATACACAACATAAAATACAAGAGATATGTATATATAACACCCTAATCTATGGCTCAATTTAACCCCAGTAAAAAATTATTCCAAATGAATATCATCCATCACCAAAAGAAATTTAACAAAACATTCACAATAGTCTCAAAATAATAAACCATACAAAATTTATAAAATCCCAAATGCGTAATTGCTAATTGGGGTTATTGATCGTGTAAATCCAATAAGAAGGCTATGGAACAAAATAATTAGATGGTCTCTATTCAAACTAGTTTTTTTCTTAAACTTTCTTGTTTCTGATTAAAATAGTAAATCGGACAAATCAAATCGTCGGCTGATCAATCCATTTCTTATAACAAGGACAATTTCCACTCACTAATGCTAATTAATTAATGACATAAAAAGATGATGCCTTTGATGGGCGACCGGCTCAAAGGATGAATCTCATAAACTGAAAGGAGCCAAGAAGAAAGGTAGTGTGTGCAGTGCAGACCAGACTGCAGAGGGAGGGAGGGAGGGAGGGAACGATTAATTTATAAGTTCACTATTAGCGTTAATGGGGTGTGTAACATTTAATTAATTAATTGGGAATTTAATTAGTTGAACAAGTGAGTAATTAATGAATGACTGAGAGGTCGGTCACGTGACCCTCCACGGTTCTGATTCGAGCCCAAACTCCCAAACATAATAGTTAATGGGCACATGTGCGGATGTGCCCCTCCCAAAGGCAAACAAAATATCAGCCAAGGCTCTATCCAAAGCACAAACCTGCTGACATAATAATAAGAAATAAAATTATCGGACCCAATTAATAAACAGTCCAGAGATTAATAGTTATTATCATAATAAAGTGTAGAAAGCAAAATCAACGGTGGAGCTTATACTGTACTTGTCCAACCGTGTTTTTTTTTTTAATCAATGAAAGAGTGATTTTGTTCCTCTCCTTTCAGTCGAGTATATTGCTTTAACTTCTTTCTATAGGTCTATAACGTATAACCATTTCATAGAAGTTAATAAACACGTTTGTATATCTAGCAAGCTTGTTTGGCCTATAATTTTTATAATATAACAAATGTTCTCTTTCGAGAGAACATTGTTAATGAACAAATTAATCTCAAGTTCCCAACCATATTCTACTCGAATGATCCATACTTCTGCATCCCCATTCTCAAAATAGCCCTAATACCATGAAAGCAGCCAGGCTTACCCCAAACAAGGGTAAGTAGTGTCGTCAATCAAATTGCTCATTTCTTCAAGCTCCATGACATGAAAGTCAAAGCCAATTACAATTTTAATTTACTTCCTTGCCCGTGGTCATATCAAAAGGGTTAGATGTCGAGTTGGAGATATCATTTTTTTAGTAGAATACAAACTAGCTCCGTCTCATCCAAGTCGGTAGTCGAATTACGCAATCAACGAGAGAAATTTATGTACACATTAACTCTTTCCGCGCACTCTTAGTTAATTGTGAAACTTTAGCTAACTCGTCAACCCTGGTATGGTCACCAATACTCAGCCCGAACTTCAACACTCTATGAATCCCAATCGCGGAAATGTGTGACCCTCAACACGAAACCCCGAGTATGGTTACACATGCAAACAACACATGAGTTAGTGTGGTACGTAATAGTTTGAGTTTTAACTCGGTTAAAGTACCCATTTTAATAGCTCGTTCGTTAAGCAAGAGATATGATTTGACGAGGAGAGTGTAGATGAAAGTGGGAAATAGGGCTTTATTGTTGGATGCCCTTGGTTGGTAAATTGGGATGAACATCTGAATTGGTGCTTGTTGAACAGCGCATTGAGAATTTGACCTTTTGGATACACTTATCAATCCAATCGCTCAGCCTGTCACAGACAGTAACCAATAGATTTAAGAATGATTTCGAGACAACCCAGTCCACCATACCACCTCCTTGTTGCAGTTCAAGGTTGAGTATCACGTTACATTTTTGCTCAATGACTTGAATTAAACCGATGAAATCAAGGCCTTATGAATGATGTTGATGTTATATTGAATAACTCGACCCCTTCTTCCTAGAGACATGAATACACTATTTGCAAAATCACACCTACCAATGATTTTGTCAATATACAAAGATTGAAATAGAATTAAACCACGATTTACACATAAATAACCTACCACGTACTTGAGCAAAATCCAATATAGTTTTACAATATTTGATAAAAAGATCTCATCCAAACAATGGAAAAAGAAATTGGGGAAGGGAAAAGAAAGGAATTAGGGGGTCATTTGGATGTAGGTTTTGGGTGTGGGATTTGGGCACAATCCTACATAGTGTGGGATTTTAATTAAAATCACTCATTTGGAAAGGCTAAAAAAAATGAGAGATTTTAATCATGAGAGATTTCGAAAACCTACAAGTGTAGGATTTAAAAATAGCTGATGGGGATCAGCTATTTTAAAATCCCACAATATTTGGACATTTTGTTCCATAAATGCCCATGCTCTTTTTATGTTAATCCTACTTTACCCTCCTTATTCTATTAACCTATCCATAAACCCATTTGCCTGTCTTCACTCTCAACAGACGAAAGGAAGTTCAACGAGGGTGTGGGCATCTGAAGCGACCACATCGGCGGCAACGACGCAGCAGTACGACGGTCGAGTAGCAGAGGCGTTGGGTCTGCTAGGTCAAGTCTTTTCAGGTTAGTTGCTCTTCTTCGGGTTACAATCTGGATATTTAGGGTTCTGTTCTTGGGTTTTTGCGTGCTGTCGGCTTCTTCTCCCATTTGTTTGTACTGTTGCTTTGTGGGTTACCTGCGTAGAACATCATTCCTCGTCGGAGCCAGGTTGGGACGGAGCCATGTTTGCACTGTTGGTTTGTGGCTTCTTCTCCCATCAGTTCTATTTGGCCAGATGGGCAAACAAAGAATGCTCTGCTGATTTGTGCTCGGTTGCTGTCTTGCTCACCATACCATTAATTCATCCAAACCTTCCTTCAATGAGCCAAATAATTTGACCGAACAAATAAACCATTCCATTTACCCTTTCTTAATTTGTTGTTGTTTGATTCCATTTACCATTCCAATGCCGCCATTATAGCTTCCTTCTCTGTGCTTTTGTGTTGTGCTTACTTTATTGTTTGTTAGTTTGTTTGATTATATGTGTGCTACTGCATATGGCGGGCAAGCCCCAAAGCTTAGTTGTTGTTAGTATGTTGTTGTTAGTATGTTGTTGTTCTTGGCCACAATGTTTGCAGTATAGTAGTTGCTGTGTTTTTAATTCAATTTCAATTTTTGATAAAGGATGTCCCGGCTTTCCACGATGTCTGCCACGGAAAGGCGCAAAGTGATTGTTGCTATTAGTGCATTTTGGAACCTTGTAATGATTTATGTCAATTTAGGAATGGAGGTGATGGAACTTACAGAGATGCTAATTCGTAATCCCAAAATTGGTAGGCAGCCCTTAGATAGTTACATGATGCGTCAGTATGATAGGCAAAGGGTGATTGACAAATGTACCAAATTCAGTGATGCCGAGAGTCACAGGAAGATTAGGATGAAACGTAGTTTATTCAAGAAGCTATGTGACCTTTTAGTTTCGGATGGTGGGCTGAAAAGGACCCGAAACGCTGAAGTAGATGAAATGGTTCTCATCTTTCTACTGGCTATATCACATAACAACAAAATGCTTAGTTTAGCAGTGGATTTTCGCCGCTCTTCTGAGACGATTTATAGGTTGTTTCACCGAGTCTTACGGGCAATTCTAAGACTCAACAACCAGCTTATGAAGAAACCCGAACCCATTCCCGCTGATTCAACCGATAACAGATGGAAATACTTCAAGGTCGGACACTTTGACTTTCATTAAGACAATATTACAAGCATTTGCAGTATTGTTTAGCTTAATTAATTGCTTCTTTGTCTTAGAATTGTTTGGGAGCTCTTGACGGAACTCACATTAATGTTCGACCCTTGAAGGAAGAGCGAACTAAGTATCGAGATCGGTCTGGTCAACTCTCCATTAATTGTTTGGGTGTTTGTACCCCAAATTTAGAGTTCATATATTGTTTAGCTGGATGGGAAGGGTCAGCTCATGATGCGAGGGTGTTGAGAGATGCATTAAACAGGCCGAATGGCCTAGTTGTGCCGGAAGGTAATAGTTTCAAAAACAAAAATCTACATGGCATATAGATTAAGTATTCTCACATATGTAGGAAATGCTAATTCTGATTTTTTTTTACATATAGGGTGCTATTACTTATGTGACTCAGGGTATGGCAACAGCCCTGGGTTCTTGACCCCTATTCGGGGGCCAAGATACCATATTGATGAATGGGGGGGGGGGCAGCTGCCAAAAAACAAGGAAGAGTACTACAATTGGCGACATGCTCAGGCTAGGAACGTGATAGAGAGGATTTTTGGAATTATGAAAATGCGATGGGGAATTTTGAGGGATGTCAGTTGGTTCTCAGTGCCTGTGATTTCTCGGATTGTTCTAGCATGCTGTATTTTACACAATTTCATAAAGAAGGAGGAAGGAGCTGATATGTATGAAAGAACCTATAGAGACCAGCCACACGAACATAACCAGCATGAATCTTTCGGGGTTGATACAATTGCAAACTCGGGCACTCAACCGACCGAAGCTTGGTCTCAGTTTAGGATGGACTTGGCCTCTGAAATGTGGAATGCTCGGCCTGCACGTTTCAGAACTGCTTCATGACTCTCTTCTGCTGTTTAATTGTTATGATTTATGTAATGTTAGACAATTAAGTGGTTGGCTACTGTTTGTTTATCTTGTTATGAGTTAAGTAATATGAAGTTTGTTGTTGGGTGTTCTTTTGGACAAGCTAAATATATGAAGTTTGTTGTTGTGTAATCTGTTGGCAGATAAATATATGTTAGTTGCTTCTATTTTTGTTGTTGGGTGTTCTTTTGGCAGAAGTGGATTTGATCTGTTAGCAGATAAATATATGTTAGATTGTCCCTACTAATGTTTGATCTCTATTTTATAGATATGGTGAAAAGAAAGAAGTTGAACGACGGAGAAGGTAATAGTGCTGCCTCCACAAAGTACTTCTCTTGGCCTGAGCATTTCGATAAGCCATTTGCAGATTGTATCTTAGAGTGCTTCGAGAAGGGACTGATAGTGGATGGCATTTGTAAGAACGGTGTGTATGGTCTGCTTGCGAGAATGATGGAAGCTAAGGTCCCGGGCTGTGGAGTGAAAGCCAAGCCTCATGTAGAGGGTAGGATTAAAAAATGGAAGAAGATCTGGCATGCAATGACATTCATGAGAAACCAGAGTGGATGGGGCTGGGATGAGATTAATCAGTGTGTCATTTGTCCAGATGAACGTTGGGCTGACTTTGAGATGGTAAGACTTCGTATATATATATATATATATATATATAGATTTACTTTGGGTAGTTTACTGGATTCATGGAAAAAAATAAGAATTGTGAAGCTAATGGTTGGTAATTACTTGCAGAAACACCCTAACTGTGAAGGTCTGAACAAGAAACCATTCATGGTTTATGATGCTCTGACACCGGTCTTCTGCAAAGGTCATGCAAGTGGGGATCATGGGGTTGACACCAATGATCCGATCTGCTTAGATGGAACATCAGGAGAAGACGAGGAAATACCAAATATTGCTGACATAGATGCAAATGAGAGGATTTTTGAGGAAATCAATGCGGAGTTAGCTTCAACAGATGGTGCTCCACCGAAGAAGAAAAAGAAAAAAGGAATGACTGTTGAAGAACGCCTCACCGATGCGACAGGAGAAATGAGAGATCTTCGCCCTTTGATTAAACAATCTATGGATACACTTGCAAGAGCACTTGGAGAGAGTGATGATCACATCAGCATGCGAGATAATCTTTTTGAGAGCTTGGAGCAGCTTGGGGGGCTGGACCGAGAGGAGATCATTGCAGCAGTGACAGTCCTATCGATGAATGATCGACACTTGATGATGTTCTACAAGATACAAAACGTTCTGGACAAGTTGATGTTCGTGAAAAGGTTGATTGGTTGAATGTAGGGAGAAGAGTTAGTAATCCCAGCTTGTATGCAAGCTTTTTTGGGGATCATTAGTCCTTGGTCTTTGTGATATAAACTCGAACATGGTGTTTTTTAGGGATTAGCAGGGGTTGTTGTGATCCCGGCTCGGACATGGAGCCTTTTTTGGGGATTACTTACTCTTCTTTTATGCATTTCAGAATGTTTTTTCTTAGCTTGATGTTTTATGTTCTAAACTCTGCAACTGGAAATGATTTCAGTTTGTCTGCAGCAAGATATAAGCAGCCATTTTGTTAGAACAGCCGGAAGCTACTCTTGCATTCTTATTTTGACACTTCTATCTCAGTGTTGCAGCAAGATATAACCAGCCATTTTGTGTAGCTCAACATAAGCACACACATGCATACTGTCAAAACATATGCAGAATATGTTGATGCTGAATCATGTAATCTTAGTCTGCAATTTTATGATTTCAACCATTCCGCAATCGCATTCTGCAGAACATACTGTATATGTTTTCAATTAGTCTGCGGTTCCATTCTAGCTTCAACAAACTCTGCATATTTCATTCATATTTCAATAGCTTCAATCCTTACACAAGCAATCCTATTACAACAGGCTCACACAACATGCTGTGAGCAAACAAGCTTACATTCCCCAGAACCATCCTAACAAAACAACAAGGAAACCTAACATAACATACTCACACAAACATAACCATCCTAACACAACAACCACGATCAAACAGGATTACATTCTGAATAACCTATCTCAACCCAAGTGTCCCTTCAACGCGAGACATTCTGTGACTCAGCTGCGAAATTGTTTCCAACAGACTTGTTTCAGTTGAATCACTCGTTCTAGTATGTTGGACGAACAAGGCTGGTCAGCAACTTCACAACGCCGTAACTGCAACCGAAGTTGCTTGTTCTCTTCTTCTAAATCGGCAAGTTTCATACGCAAATTGGCAACTTCCCTAACAAGGTTTCGTTCACGGACTTCCAAAGCATGCACATCAAACCATTTGAAATAGCCACATTCTTTCTTCCCCTGCAAACCAATTAATCAAGTTACAATGGAAGCAATTCAACATCTTGCTCACAATTGATTCAACCACCACCACTAGCCTACCATTTACTCGATCCCAGGACCCCATTTGAAATAGCAACCCTAAATTGAACTAACCAAAACGTGATTCTGTTGGATTCAGAGGGATTAAGACATTACCTTTATTTTCTTCAGTGGACAAGAGTAAAATTCTCTATTTGGGTTCCTGGGGGAGTGAGATAACTCCAACACAGCTTCCAAAGGACAGTCGCACAGTGGTGGATGCATGTTGGCTTTGGAGATGGCGGTTGAAGAACGGCGCCCTACCGACGATGATGCTGTGATCGACGAACGGCGGCAGCTGCTGTCCTCCAGAGCGCAGCGAAGGAAAGGATCGACAATGGTGGAAGAAACCCTAGCAGTGGTCGAGGTCTCGAGGAAAAAAAATAGCAGCAGTGAACGGCCAAATTTGGGCCCTTGTACACATAAATAGGGAAGGTTAATTATGTAATCTTGCATTCTCATTTTATAAATGCCACATATGTTTCCAAACGTGTGATTTGCCTAAAATTCCACATAAATTTCACAAATTAAAAACCTAGGTTTTCAAACCAGTAATTTGAGTCAAAATCCCACAAATTAAAAACCTGCATCCAAATGACCCCTAGTTATTAAATCGGGGAAAATAAAACCCTACGACCCAACTCGTAAGGACGAATACTTCGTGGAATAAAATCTGGCCGTCCAGAGAATGATCCTACGGTAAAGATCAGCCCACGCTCGTGCTTAACACTCATCTTTCTTCACTCCAGTCTCCTCTCCCTTCCCCTTTCTTTTTTGTTCCCCTCTCTCGCGAAGAGAAAACCATGGCTGAAGCCTCCATGATTTTCGATCATCTCCAACACTCCTAACAGTCGACCTGATCCATTTGTTCATAACAAAACCCTACACATTTCTTGTTACGAAATCCCAGTCTTTTAACTCCCAACGAAACACAACCTGTTTGGGGGGGATTTCATATCTGTTTGTCTATTGCTTTTCCCCTAAGCCTTCGAATTCCGTCGACTTTCCAGAGTTCCCTGTTTTCCAATCAAGAAGGCCGTCTGTTTTCCTGGCGTAAGACAGAGTGCCCAGTTTGGTTCCTCTTGCTTTGTAGCTGAATCTGTACTCAAAGTCTCAATCTTTATAGCGTCGTATGCGTCCACAATCTCTGATGGTCTCAGATACGTATCCAAACATTCTTCCCGATATCTCTATGCGATCAGTCCTTAAAAATGAGGATTTGGCCCAGTTGATTAGGGAACAGCGGCTACAACAAGAGGCGGCGAGCGAGAGGGAGAATGAGCTCAACATTTACCGGAGTGGGTCTGCGCCTCCAACAGTCGACGGCTCTTTGAGCTCAATCGGAGGCCTGTTGAGGAAGAATGGGAAAGGTGGGTTCTTTAGTGAAGAGGAGTTGAGGTCTGATCCAGCTTACGTTAATTACTACTATTCCAATGCTAACGTGAATCCAAGGTTGCCGCCTCCTCTGCTGTCAAAGGAGGACTGGAGATTCGCTCAGAGGCTTCACGGTGGTACTCCGGCGAATTCGGTGGTGGGTGATAGAAGGAACGTTGGTAGAGGCGGTGGTAATGAAGGGAACAGGTCACTCTTTGCGATGCAGCCAGGGTTTGGAGGTGGCAAGGAAGAGAACGGGATTGGAAATGGCGGTGGAGTTGAGTGGGGAGTAGATGGACTTATTGGTTTGCCAGGGTTGGACCTTGGAAGTAGGCAAAAGAGCATTGCTGAGATGATTCAGGTGATTCTTTTTTTAATTTTAAGTGCTTAATTGGGTGAAATGTATTTATTAAAATATATGGTGTTTCTTGCCCATAGTAGTCTGTCACTGGTTAGAGTATGTTCTTTATTTGTAGTAATGGTTCTATGGTAGCTGTGCTTTCTGTTTGGGGTGGTTCATTATGATAATGCTGGTTTGGAAACAAAGTTCTTGTGGTGGTATGTTGTTGTTCTGGCTTTTAGTTGGTTGTTTTCTCATAAAGCATCTGGCATTTGAGTTAGATTCTTTGGCATTGGTGGTTGAATTTACCAAATCACTTGTAGGATAGTTTGTTCGGATTCAAATTAATATGGCCACTCATGTGTGGGTACCTATTTCGGGAACTTCTTTATGGTTTCCCTATTACCCAGTTAGTTTCCTTATTGGCTAGGTTGTGCCATGATATTGTGGTTGTTCTGACTCTGTGTTGGTTGTTTTGTCACAAAGCATTTGATTCCAGATTCTTTGGTGTGCTGGTTTAGGTTCCTAGTCACTCCTAATATATTTTCTTTTGCACATTCTTGTGTGACCTCTTCAAATTTAAACTTCTTGATGCTTAAGTATATTATTCAATTACTTTGCCTATCGGCTAATTTGCACAGATATTGATAAAAGGATCATCTAATGACCTAACTCCCGAGGAGAGGATCTTCACTTGATTTCTTAAGAAGTATTATCTTCACAAAGTATGGAACCTATCAATGCAATTCGGATATTCCTTCTGCAATTGATTGTTAAATTAATGTTCCTTGTTTGTTGCACTGCTGTTCATGTGTTCATCTTAGTATGAGAATCATCATTCTTGTCTCATCTCCCTTTGTCACAATCAGCTTTTCTTTTATGTGAAAATACTGGCAGTCTGGTATATTGAGCGTTTGAAACTTTGATTGCCAGACACTTTAATTGTTCTGTTTTTAATCAGAATTCCAGTTATGGTTTTGCTATTAGATTCATATCCATTGGTCTGTCCGTTGGTTATATTTGTATTGGTTGCATGAGCATCCCTTGCCGCTTTGTTAATAGCTTATCATTACTGAATGCAGGATGACTTGGGTCCCTCAAACCCTGTTTCAAGGCATCCGTCACGTCCTGCTAGCCGTAACACATTTGATGTAGATGTCGAAGCTTCTGAATCACACTTTTCTCAACATCATGGTATGGCATCTCTTGATGGTTTGCGGTCTAGCCCCAACCAACACGGCTTGCCAGCTGTAGGATCTTCATCTTCCCAGACTTATGCTTCAGCTCTAGGTGCCTCCTTGTCACGGAGCACTACACCTGATCCCCAGCTGATAGCCAGGGCTCCTAGTCCCCGCATTCCACCTATTGGAGGAGGCAGAGTCAACTCTTTTGATAAAAGAGATATGGGTGGTTCCAACTCATTCAATGGGGTTACGTCAAGCTTGGGCGAACCTGCTGACCTGGTAGCTGCCTTTTCTGGGCTGAATATGTCGAATGGTATGGCCGCTGAGTTACACCGGCCGAGATCACAGACCTACCAACATGAGATTGATGATCGCCATGACTTTTTCAATTTGCACGGGGACCAAAAACATAACAAGCAACAGTCGTATTTGAACAAGCCTATGGCATCTGGTAACTCATACCTTAAAGGACCATCGACTCCACCTCTAAATGGCAGGGGAAGCTCTCCTAATCACCAAAGCCTAGATAACTTGAATTCCCCTTTTGCAAGCTATGGTGCAAATGGGTATCCTGGAAGTCCGTCGTCTCCATCTATGATGGGAGGTCAGCTAGGTAATGGGACTTTGCCACCTTTATTTGAGAATGCTGCTGCTTCTGCCATGGAAGGACTTGGGTTAGATTCTAGAGCATTGGGTGCTTTAGGACCTAATCTATTGGCTGCTGCAGCAGAACTACAAAACCTTGGTAGAGTTGGGAATCAGGGTGCTGGGAATTCCCTTCAAATGCCTCATGTGGACCCATTGTATCTACAGTATATGAGATCCAATGAGTATGCTGCTGCCCAGATTGCTGCTCTGAGTGAATCAACAATGGACAGGGACTACCTGGGTAATTCATACATGGATCTGGTTCAAAAAGCGTATCTCGGGGCTCTGCTTACTTCTCCAAAGGCACAGTATGGTGCTCCATATCTTGGAAAATCTGGTAGCTTGAATCACAATTACTATGGAAATCCATCATATGGTCTTGGCATGTCCTACCCTGGAAGCCCATTAGGCGGAGGCCTTCTTCCAAACTCTCCAATTGGGTCAGGTAGCCCTGGAAGACACGGTGAAAGGTCTTTGCGTTTTCCATCTGGAATGAGGAATCTGAGTGGAGGTGGCATGGGATCTTGGCACTCAGAAGCTGGTGGTAACTTGAATGAAGGCTTCCCATCCTCTTTACTAGACGAGTTCAAAAGCAACAAGACAAAATGCTTTGAGCTCTCTGAAATTGCTGGTCATGTTGTTGAATTCAGGTGTGTATGTAGTATGCATTGAACTTATGGATGTGACTATCCTTTTTTCTTTTTGTAAAGTCAGGCACTGAGAAGTTTATGTATGTGTAAAACAGTGCTGATCAGTACGGGAGTCGATTCATCCAACAGAAACTTGAGACTGCTACAACAGATGAAAGAGACATGGTCTTCAATGAGATTATGCCCCAAGGCCTTTCATTAATGACTGATGTGTTTGGTAACTATGTAATTCAGAAGGTATTTAGTTAGATCACTGAGCTACATGAGATTCGATTGTTGATTTCTTCAAGCTACACCTGCTGCTTGTTTGTTTCTTCGACGATCACCTCATTAAATTCTATGTAATTTTGCGTCTAAGTGATACTTTTGTTCTGCTTCAGTTTTTTGAGCACGGATCTGCTCCTCAAGTGAGAGAACTGGCTGAGCAGCTGACTGGTCACGTGCTGACCCTTAGCCTTCAAATGTATGGCTGTCGAGTGATCCAAAAGGTATGTTAAAAAATATGATCATATTTCTGGTTTGCCATGTTCTCCTCTCTGAACATGCAGGTGTCATCTTTCTGCATGGTCTTAATATCGAAATGGATGTAAACTAACTTCGTGAACTTTTAATTGAGCTTCTTGTTAGTGAAGGGTGAATAATGGTGCTGCATGTAAACTAAAATTTGGCATTTTCTGGAAAAATAGACTAGTGTCGGTATTATGCCATGATATTATCTAATTCTGGAAGAAAGAAATGGAAAGGGTATTTTCAAAGAAAGAAAATAAAGGGGGAAAGGAGATTGATAATTTGGTTATAGAAACTTTACTGAAAGGTTTCCATTGTCTCATTGAAGCCATTATACGGTGCTACCTTTATTTTAGCATTTTCGCTTTTGCTTTGTTCTGCCACAGCCTCTTTCAAAATAAGCGAAGATAAAGTTCAATTTTCCATAAACTTGATTTTCTCTTCGTCTAATTTTTCTTCTTACATGTATACTGAACATGTACTGAAAGATAGGATAGCAGGCTTGATAGCTTCCATTCTTTCTCTGCAGGCTATCGAAGTTGTTGAGCTGGATCAGCAAACCCAAATGGTGAAAGAGCTTGATGGTCATATCATGCGATGTGTGCGTGATCAGAATGGCAATCATGTCATCCAAAAGTGTATTGAATGTGTGCCTGAAGATGCAATACAGTTCATTATTACGACATTTTATGATCAAGTTGTTACACTATCCACTCATCCATATGGTTGCCGTGTGATACAGGTTTGTGTATTCTGTTTTACTTGTTTGTCTATGTGTGATGATTGATTCATTTTTGAAATCAGAACAATTGCATCATGTCTACAAAATGAAGAAGTGTATCATAGGCGCACAAGCCTTTGATTCCGGATATTCTGTCTTATCTTTGCTGGATATAAAGGAATGAGTGCATGCCAACAGCTATCTCGACTTTTGTGTTAGATAGTATAATTGTTCCCATTTGACATGAATTTGATTTTGTAGAGAGTTCTGGAGCATTGTAATGATCCAAAAACCCAACAAATAATGATGGATGAGATCTTTCGATCGGTTTGTATGTTGGCGCAAGACCAGTATGGGAATTATGTCGTACAGGTTCGTTATACTATCCTTGTGTTGATCTATCTGAGTTGAACCTTCTGTGCTAACCATCACACACTATTATTTATTGAGATGAAAACGAAGGTATCATAATTATTTTGTTGCATGCAGTTACAGTTTCTGTATTTCTTGATTTTGTTGATATCTGTGGCGGTCTTTCTACTCTATATACTTCTGCGGCATGTGAGAATGACATAAACTTTTGATATCCTAGAGACACCTAGGGTCTGAGGTCTTTAAAATGGAAAGTTTAAGAACTATATTTGGCTGTACAGTTTAGAGGTTATGGTGAAAATAAAATGAAGCTTTACTGTGGTTATATTAGTCCAGTGGACTTGTATAAGGTTTGATGATATTTTACGTTGTAGTTATTCCATAAACGATTCATTGTTCAAAAAGACTGCTGTAATGGCCAGTGGCCTTTCCCCTTGCTTGTTCGCTTGTTGGGTTTGTTACTGTTGGTTCTCGTTGTAATATGCAACCTCCTCCATCCTTCCAGTTGTGCTCTGTCTTCTTTAATTTCGCTTCAAACTGGCTGGCTTAGTTACTTTTACCTGTTTACAGCATGTGCTGGAGCATGGGAAGCCTGATGAACGCTCAGCCATTATAAAGAAGTTGACTGGGCAAATAGTTCAGATGAGCCAGCAGAAGTTCGCTTCCAATGTTATAGAGAAGTGTTTGACATTTGGGACACTTGCTGAGCGCCAGGCATTGGTTGATGAGATGCTTGGCACCACTGATGAAAATGAGCCTCTTCAGGTTTGTGAATGACTTATCTTCTTCTTCCCTCCCTTTGACATGCCTAGTGCTGTCACTGTGTTGGAGAATCTGAAATTATATAATTTTATCATCTTAGAGCTCTGCGGTTCAAGTCGTGTTTGGGTCTCACATGCAGGCAATGATGAAAGATCAGTTTGCAAATTACGTTGTACAGAAAGTGCTTGAAACTTGTGATGACCAACAACTTGAGTCGATCCTCAACCGTATAAAGGTGCACTTGAATGCTCTGAAGAAGTATACCTATGGGAAGCATATAGTGGCACGTGTAGAGAAGCTCGTTGCAGCTGGAGGTACGTTGACGCACTTGTTTATGGTTCTGATGTTACTCTGTTATCCAGTTGAGTGAAAGTAGAGGAAGAAATGAATCTAACAAGAGAGTGGTTTTACTTTCTACAGAGAAGCGTATCAGCATCCTTACTCTGCAACCTGCTGCTGTTGCTACTTAGATGGCATAGGAGAAGTTGTACAGCTAACTGAGGATAGTATCAAGGCACCTCTCTCTTCCTTAGTTTCCGAGTTTTCCGCTTGCTAGTTAGAATGGCCCTGTCCTATTTATGAGGACAGATAGTGTGGCCATGTGCAAATAAACAAATTGTTGGTTGTACTTAAGTAAGTACCCCTGTACATTGTTAGTTGGAGAGTATACCTAGATTCAGGCTTTTCTAGCTTAAGGGCTCAGAATCGCAACACTTGCCGATGCTGTTACGTAGCAGTTGCAGAGATGAGATGATAGAAGAGGGTGGGACTACTGAGCGAGAAGAAGTCCTCATCGTTTGCGGGTGTAAAAAAAGGTACAATGAGATGGGTGAGGATGTAGCGAGTTTGCAATGTTTGACTGTACAAAGGTGTTTGCAGGCAGAGGGACAAAACCAACAAAGCCTTTTCTGTTTAAGGAGAGTCGGGGGAATTTCATAATGTAATGGATATTTCTTTGATATCTAAATAATCCTTTCCCTATAACGAGTTTCCTCGAATGGGGTTTGATCATCAGATCATGCGCCCTTACTATGTCACAAAGTTCAGAACTTTATACGAATGAGCATCAAAATCTGTCAATCAAGAGGGGCAGAAGGTGATAACATAACGAGGAGCAATACAAGTTTTGAGCCCAGAAGCCTCATCAAAAGCAAAGCTATAAGCCCTAGGGCAAATCGCCTTGAAGACAATACCAAACACACTCGGCTTGCAAGCCTTCGGATCAGCAAATTCCCCTCTGCAGCAATAGCTATCACTTTTGGCAGCCAAACAAGCGCTCTTGCAACCCACCACTTTCCCCTGCCGCTCGATGACCAGAACAGAAGGGCACACCGCATTCAAATCAGCCTCACAAGCAGCCACTCCACACTCCCTTCCCAGGCCATTGATTGGCACAACCGAGACCGGAACATTGAATCCGTCGAGCAGGCTGACATCGTAGAAATGTAAGGCCGATGCAGAAGTTCCCAGGGTCATCTCGACTAAGGTCGCTGGAGGGACACCGCCGATGCCTCTGCACTCGAGCATGCCAGAGCAGTCTCCGGTCTGGCAGTAGCCTTTCTTGGTGGATTGATCGAAACTGCAGCCTTGTCTCGGCCAGATTCTGCCCGACCAGTGGCGGGGAACTTGGAAGGTAACTTGTTGGCCACGGCAGAGATGGAAGCCGCCTTCTTTTGGGGTGCTGTGGCCCGCATTGCCCAGGATTCCTGGCCATACGCTGTAGTTGCAGTTGTTCTGTATTGTGAGTTCTGTTGTGGCGCCATCTGCACATCAAACATGACAAACAAAAGTAAAGAGCATGAATTGGGGAAAGAAGTAGACTTGAATTTGTGAGAGGTTGTACCTGTGATGGAGATGAGGGCGGGGAAGTGAAAGAAGAAGATGAGAAATGAGGAAGTTATCTGCATTTTCGCTTCGAAGTTTTGGTGGAATGTGATTGAGGAACAGAAGAGAACTGTTTCGGCTTCCAGTTTCAACGGCAGAACAGTTAATTTTAGCCCTGCCCTACATTGGCAGTTCCAGTACTTAAAACTTAACCGGTTAATCCTACCCTATAAAAGAAGGGTAGGATTGTCTGGATTGAGGTTTTATTTTGACCACAATTATGCTTACAACTCTTCCATATAAGTTCCGGGCGTGCAGGTGAAACAGTAGAAATTAAGAAGGTGTAAGTCTCACAGATGATGATGATCATGTGAAGTTAACAAAACCCACAAAACCCACTAAGTGGGGTACGTAAGCAGACCCATAAAGCACATGAAAAACCTGCACAACAACGAACAGTGTCTTGCAAAAAGGAACCATTTCCATTTGTGGAATACGTACTAGATACCCATTGCTACTGGCTAAATAGCAAGTGTCTCTCTCAAAAACAAAAACGAGTGTCTAGAGTGCATGCACCTAGCAGCACTGACAAAAGCTCACATGGGATGAACTTTCACTAGTGGTAAGGAAGTAACAGGATAAACAGGAGGTAAAAGACACAGAACTATTGTTTCCTTTCTCCCAAGCTGGGTTTTTGATGAATCTTCCTGCCATATCATGTTTCCTCTTTCATCTTCCCACGTTCCAATTCATATAGAAAATCATCAAGTTGTGGATTCTGAATTCTGATACTGCAAGTTGTGCTATTTTTTATTTTTAATTTGGGTAGATGTATTGTTGTCCACCGTTTCTGCAGTGGTTTTGGTTCAACTTTGATCGATGCCGGCAAACTTTTGTCAACTGGACTAATATTTTACAGACAGTTCCTTTACGAGAAGCAAATTAATAAAATGTTGCAATTTGCCCTAATGATGGGCTTCCCTGACGTTATCATGTACATCATTAGCCAGAGACAGTGTCCATGTCAACACCGTTGGACTCAAGTAGACAATGATACTCTGTTCTGCATTCTTCTGGCAATGGAATAAAAACAAAGTGGAAAGGAATCTGCAAACCCATCTACTATTGTTCAGTTCAATTACTACAATCCTGATAGGGGGAATCAGTCATAACAAAATCATTTACATTTACAGAAGCAAACTACACTAGAACAGCGTATAATCCATCAAGCAAAGTGAACTGCTATCTACATTCATTTCCACTGGCAGCAAGCGAAAGCGATGAATCGGAACAACCTTCGACATCAGCATCCCCGAAATCTCCAGCCGACGACCAAGTACTCACCTTCGTGAAGTACGATGGATAAGAATGTGCCCCAAACTTCAACCTCACCTCACCTTCACAACCACTGTCGCCATTCTCACCATTTCCTTTCTTTCCATCGTATTCATCAACCACTTCAGGCAATCCCACCTCGCCTTCCAAGTACCTAACCACCTGCCTCATCGTTGGCCTTGCCTCGGGCACATTGTTTGAACACATCAGCCCTAACTTCACCACCACGACAGCTTCCAGCTCGTCGAAGTCTCCATTCAGCTTTGGATCAACCACATCAAGCACAGCACCACTCTTCCATTTGTCCCACACCCAGTCCACCAGAATGAGCTCTTCCGGCAATGCCTTGGCCTCGATCGGCCTTCTTCCACAAGCCACTTCGAGTAGAAGCGCACCAAATGCAAACACATCGGAGCTAGTGGTTGGCTTTCCGGTTCTAGTTAGCTCAGGTGCTAAGTAGCCCAATGTGCCCACTACCCTTGTTGTGCCAGGGTTAGACCCATGCTCATACAACTTGGCCAGACCGAAATCGCCAAGCCTTCCATTAAGCTCAGAATCTAACAACACATTTCCTGCTTTAATATCTCTGTGGATCACAGTCTGCTCCCATTCTTCGTGCAGATACAGAAGCCCTGATGCTATGCCTTTGACGATTTTGAATCTCTGTACCCAGCTGAGTATCGCTTTAGGCTCGTCGAACAAGTACTTGTCCAAGCTGCCATTCTCCATGAAATCGTATACCAGAAGCAAATCTTGTCTCCTTCTACACCATCCAAACAACTGTACCAAATTCCTATGGCGAAGTCGACCAATGGTGGAAATCTCGGAGGCAAATTCCCTTAGACCTTGCTTGGATTCATGGGATATTCTCTTGACTGCTACTTGGGTAGCCGAAGTTCGTAAAGTACCTTTATAAACTTTCCCAAATCCACCGAATCCAAGCAACTCCTTGTCTCTAAACCCTTTGGTTGCCCTCTTCAGCTCTTTGTAAGGGAACCTGTGAGGCCCAACATCAAGCTCCCAATCTTCAATTACATCCGCATTTCTCATCTTTCTAATGAGGTGAAAAGATGCAGCGATGGCTAGTACAATCACACAAGTGACAGAGATTGATACCCCCAGGATTAACCCTTTGTTGCTGCTCCCAGAACCGGGGAGTGAAGGGAGATTGGAAAGGGACAAACTTTTAGCTTCTCCATCAACGCAAAAGCTCCACCCAAGAACATAGTGAGTGCTGGCTAGCAACCCAGTTGAGGAAGAGAAACCCACAAACATGTAGTCCAAAAGAAAGCGGGAGAGATCCACATCAAAGGATAAAATAGGGGATTTGGGTTTATTCGAAGAAGGAGCTAACCTAACTTCCAAGAGATTCTGTTCTGAATCGTAATCCACCCAAGCTTGAATCGGTTTACCACTTTTGAGGTTCAAATCTACCTTGGCGGAGTTAGCAAGAAAATACCCAGCTGGAACTGATTTGTTCGATTGCAATCCGTCAATATCGATCCCCACATGGTTATCATTTATATCCCCAAATTCGAAATCTTGGACGGTGTCGAATTCGACGGCGAGAATGTGGTTGGAGAAATTACCCACATCGGTTGAATTGAAGAGGCCGAGATACTGGCTGGGGAGAGCATTGGGGAGTTGCTTTGAGCTGGAGAGAGTGAAGGCTAAGCCATGGCCACCGAGTTTTGGGTACTCTGGAACTATGGCGAAAACGAAGGCGGTGGAAAAGGAGAAAGCTTTACCATGTGGGTTTTCCTTGAGCTGCACTGGTGGAGAGTAAAAAGCATGGCCGATTAAGCGGAGAGTGTCGTTTGTCAAGCGAAGCAAGCCGTTGTTTTCGATCTCTGCAACTCCGGTCAAGGTCAGGTTGCTGGTTGCTGAGTCGAACCCTTCGAAGAAGAGCTGGGCCGGCTGAGAAAGAACTGACCGGAAAGTGAGGAAGGAGAAGAAGAAGAAAAGCAGGGGCAGGGGCAGGGGCAGGTTTCCGGCCATGGCTAATAATGGTTGGTGTAGAGCTTGGAAGTTTTCTTGAGCTTGGTGAAAAGAGGAGATGCTCTGTTTCTTTGGCCTGTTGGGCTAGAACTGAATGAATGGAGGAAGGAGGTTGGCAAATGGCAATGGCAGTGGTGGTGATGCTGTCTTGTTTTTGTTGTTTTGCTCAGCAAGCTCGTGCTTGTATAATTTTTGGAGTTGTTGCGGCAGAAGGATGGAAAGAGACGGGAAAGAGACAGCGAAAGCCGAATGAGGGAGAGCAGGGGTTAGACTTTGGACTGAGACAGTTAATTTATGACATTCTGTTCTCTTATTGTTGTAAATGAATGTCATTCCTTCACTGATATTTAATTATTTATACCGACAAAAATGTCAAACAGATTAAGACAATATTTGTATTAGCAGTGGTATTTCAAAATCAAAACATTTTTTGGTTAATAAGAACGAGATAAAATACTTCGATTACCACTAAACTTTAAGAATTGGTGGAGTTAAAAACCACTAAACTTTGAGAATTTGTCATTCAACTTGATATCGAATTAATTTTTGAATATATTTTTTTTACAATCTTTATTATTATTTGTTCTAATAATTGAATAACTCGATAAAGCAAATATATCCTATGAATTATATCTCGATATAAATAATATGAGGATGCTATATTAAGTTCTCTTACATCATGCTGATTTTGTCTAATTTTCCATGTTAAATCTCCTTTTAATTCTCTAATATTGTAAATGTTCCATATTAGTTAAAATTACTAGTTCTAATTCTCTTCCTATATTCATATTTTCTTTTCTACATATGTTATTGTATGTTGTAGCTTTTATAGTTTATTTATTACTTGGTTACTTTTTGTCTCTTTTCGTTCTATTTTTTTAATTACTAGAATATGTTTAATCCTTTCTTCTTGTGTTTCGTTTATCCTACTTTGGTCTTTATATATTGATGATCGATTAAGTTCTATTTTAATGATTTTTAATGGTGCTTCTAATTGAATTATGGGTTTAAATAGATATTCTAATATTGATTTTAAATATTTATTATTATCTTCTAGTATATTTATTCTTCTTCTTGATATTTGTTTATTATTTTTACTAATTTATCTATTTTATTGAAAAAATTTGATTAGCCATTCCAGTTATACTATATTTAGAAGGGTTTCTAATTTTATATTCGTTAAAACTTGTTGAAATAGTTTTGGATGTTTTTACAAGTTTTGGGTGCCAAAAAGTAATTAAAAGTTTGGATTGGATGAAAAACTAGACGGATGCACATTTTAGCGACTTTAATGGTACCCGACGCCTTATTCAAACTTAAATGGTATGTCTACCCAAATTCTCAAACTTAAGTGGCACCTGAGATATTTTACCCAATAAAAACATATATGAAACTCACATAACAACTCTATCTTGTCTCGTGTTTCACTGTTTTGTCTTGGTCGTTGTAAAATGAATGGACTTCACGAACTCTTTAACCGACCTTTTATTTAAACCTTGATAATATTCTCCGCCGTTTTCGGAATTGTCAATAAAATAATTCTGGTGTTAAACCGATATTATTACCGAATCCGCCTTAATTATCATTTCCATTCCATTTCATACACGTCTGGCTGTATAAAGCAGTTATCCAAGCTTGCACAAGAAGAAACAGAAAAAGAAGGTTATAGAAAGCAAAATGGAGATAACTATTGCTTTAAACAACATACCTACTTGTTTCGTTTGCCTTCCAGCCACAGTTTTAAGCACTGAATTGGTAAATGCCCCCATCGACTCCGTTTCGCTGGTGGCGCTATGGATACATACAATACAAGTTTACGTAATTAGCTTTAACTTAGCAATAATAACAGTTGTAAGTTGGAGACTTGGAGTTGGGTTGATTGTGTCGTCAACTTAGTGGATTCTTTGAAAGGGATATCTATCTGTGGGATCACCCAACCCAACTACGTGCTGATCACCCACGCACCTCACCACAAAGCATTGTTTATTAGTTCATGTCAAACCAAGTCTTTGCTATTCAGTATGGTCATGATGGCTCTCATCTTTTGTTTAATTTCCCAAACTCAATCTTGAATTTTTGAGTATAATGCATGCCAAGGATCCATATTGGTTCATGAATTTATGATTCAGCAGTTTGATTATTATAGAAGCGTTGGTTAGACAGTGATAGTAATTGTTTATATGCTACAACACAAAAGGCTGTGTAATATACAAATTCATATCATCCATCTCCACAAGTTCTAACAAATCATCCAAACCGTCTCACAAAAACAATTATAATTTTTTATTAAATTCAAGTTAGTTGTGAGACTGGCGGTCCATAGTGGACCAAATGCGACAAGAATGTTGGTGAACGAAGAAAATGAAGCATAAATAAAATTAGTAATTCACGTTGGATGGTCTTAAGTTAAAAGGAATTTTTTCTCAACCTTTTGGCGGTAAAAATAGTGAACCAGTGGGCCAGCAAAAATGTAGTGGTTCATCTGATTTCATACCTTCTAGTTAAAAACCGTTCAGTCCATCCCAAACTGTCCAAATAGAAGAGTCTGTAACTGGTTTGGTGGTTCGAATCACTTATTTCCATTGGATTACAACTAATGCATAGTAAACGAAAGAAAAAGTAATTCATACATTTATCGCGCTATTTTTTTTTTATGAAAATAGTCCGTGACATTTTAATCATTCGTTGAGAGATTTCGAACTGCATTAAGAATGAACACAAATTCTTCATCGATCGAATGGAACAAATGTGTCAATAATTCCTCCATATCTGAGTACGGTTAACCTCTAAATTTGATACAATAATCGCTTATATACATGGTATTAGTAAACATAATTTCCACCGTGCAAGTTGTAGTAGGCATTTTTTCCTCATGGACCGGCGATTAACTGCTTTTAGAAGAAGAGCAACACCACATGGAGATCTGCCATTGCCATGGACGACTGTGGTGCAGTGGCCGGCCGGTTGGAGATGTTGATGCCCACAAACCAAAAGAAGATAAAAATCACAATCATTAAAGCTTTACACTCCAAAATATGACACATTTTGTATCTTAATTTAGCATCACTTCCTCTCTGCAAGTACCAACCTTTCTTGTCTGGTCTCTTTCATGTTCGGTTTATCAATGGGAGGAGGTCACCAATAATTTGACCTTTCATTTGCTTTTGGTTTTTTTTAAGCCAATTTTAACAACAATTTGCACTAGACAACACAGTGTTAGGTGTACATAGCTGATGTGCAAAACTTGTGATTTCCTTTTCATACTGTTTGAGCCCAATCGACTGGGGGTCGCTCGGGTCCAAGGGGTTTGGGGTGTCAGCCATGACCTTGAGGGTGTAGGCGCCCCGCCTCGTCCGAAGTAGAAAAAGAGAAGAAGTATATAGAGAGAGAAAGTAGAGAGAAGTTAGAGTAAGAGTGGATAGATTGCCATTTATGAGGAGAGAACTCCTATTTATACACTTTTGAGGGTTAGGTAGTGGTCTGGGCGCCTACCAAGCCATAAATGCTCTGGTCGGGCGCCTCAGACTCTCTGACACTGTTCATAGTCCTTTTGGCAGAGGGTGTCCCCCTGCCCCTTGTCCTTGCTGATGTCAGGTGCCTGGGTTTGTCTCTTGTCCCCCAGCCTTGTCTTTTTCCTCTTGTCTTCTTCCCTTCTCCATGTCATTAGCCATGGTATTAATTCCTTAGTCACTATGATACCCTATCACATACTAAGAAAAAAAAAATAGTTTGGTTCTGTTGTTCACATGATGCATAAACATAAATATTTTTAACTCGTTAGTTACTTATGTTGTCCACTTGCATTTACATACTGTTTACTTGTGATTTTGGTTTTGTTCAATGAGCAAACAATTTATGTTCTGTAATTCTGAGACGAATGTGGTGACTGGAAATTGAGTGATTACGGAAAAAACAAAAGTTTAGTTGTAAAGAAAATATTGATGGCGCCAAAGTGTATTAACTATTAAGGTTCCTTTTACAAATTTATTAAAGATCCCTTGACAATTGGGCCTATGTTGGATTGAGAAACAATGAAACCAGAAATGAAATGAGCCCAAGCCCAAAAAATAATTAGAGGACCTTTCCCCATGTTTAACAAGATAGGTCCATCAACAACCTAAAGTGTAAAGGAGTAAAGGACAGCCAATGGCCCATTACCATTGATTTTCCCTTTTGGCCAATGTTCAAGCCATAAATCCATGTTACCTAGTGATGGGCTGATGGCCCGTTAACATTTATTTTGCCTTTCGCCCGAAAAACAATTTCACCTATTCAATATTTCATTGGGTAAATAAATGATTGAAGACAAATCAAAAAAAAAAAAAAAACAAAGAAAATTGAGATAGAATGGATAAAATAATGATATCCACAACCACAACCTATCCCATGCTAGTGTGAGTTGGATAGGATAATAGCAAATTAAGAAGTTTGAATTTTCATTCCTGTATGTAATTAACTTTACTTTATATAAGTAACATGGTAAGATGGTAACCATTTACAAATTAAAGTCCTAGGTCTTTATTTTCCAAATATAAGATATTACCAACATGAACGCTAATGGATGGCTACTAAGGAAATATCATTTGTTGGTTCCATTTGCAAATGTTACTTCAACAACATTTCTAGAAATGCAAATGATTAATGCTTTTAGAATGCCGGATTAAGAAGTGTATAGTGATCAACACTCATTTTAGATCCCGATCAACGAAACATCAACAAGTACAAAAAAGAACGAAAGAGAATCCATAAAGACGAAGAGAAGAACATAATTAACAACATTAATATATGTTTTCTTGAATACATGAAGAAAAAGAAGAAGAAAAAAAACACCAATCCGTAAATAAGAAGGGATATAACGTAACATACAGCCCTTGATCCTCTGCAAATCCGCCCAACAAACCCCTCCTAGAAGAAGCAGAAAAAAAGGACCTTAAAATTTCACAAATTCAGAACTGATAAAGGCAACAGCTTCCATCATCACTCCTTGCAGTTTGGATCAAAGTCACCCGCTTTTGGATCTAACTGTAGAAAGTCCCGCTCTCCATGGCATCCTTGTTGGCATCGCCAAGAGCAGCCTCGTTCAAGTACTGGTCAGCCAACTGCACTCTCTTCACATTGTCTTGCTCCTGCACCAGCATGTTCCCGTACCCCATCAGCGTCTCCAATGTCATCGTCGGCTGCTCGAACGTCGGCGGCGGGTCCTTGGAGTTCACCAGCTTCTTCCCGATCGTGTCCACTCCCACTCCTGAGATCCACTTCCTCACCTCGTCGTCGTACACCCTAGCCCTCAGCGCCCCGAAGAAATCTGCACCCCACACAAATCCCCACAACATTCGTTAATATGGTATCAGAGTCTTCCACTAAAGATCATGGTTCCTGACGACCGAAATTTTTTTAGCTCCAACCTTGGTTGGACTTAGAAGCTCCAATCAGCAACATGTTAGTTTTCTATTAGTGATTTCATCTTTTTTTTCCACATTTTAATTCTTTATTTAGCATATTTAAGAACATTAAATATAAAGAGAAAAGAAAAGGCGAGTCCATCAATAATAAATTAACATGTGAATGTTTGGAGCTTCTACGTCCAATCAAAGTTAGAGCTAAGAATTTTCCTCTTCCGACACAAAAAAAATTAACAACAATTTTAGTACAAAATATAGTAAAAGTTAAAATATCGTACCGATGGATTGGCCAGGGAAGGCGTCGACGAGCTTGACGATATCGTCCTTCGGGACATTGTCGGTCCTGAAGATACCGGTACATACTCCGATTCGGTCCTCCCTGGTCGGGGCCCAGTAGAACTTCTCCATACGCCCGTCACGAATGAGAGGGGCGTACAAGGTGGAGAAGTCGTTACCGGTGACGATGATGGGGACACGGGCGTTCTCCTCCTTGTTGTACATGCCGGGGAGCTGGACGTTGGTGGGCGCGTCGGCGATGTTCATGAGGGTGGCGTTGACCATCTGGTTGTTGACCGTGTACTGGGTGGTCCCGCCCATACGGCCGGCACCGGCGTCGAGATCGTTGATGAAGAGGCAGCACATTTTCCCCTTCTTGATGATGTCGGCGGCCTCACGGTACCTCTGCCTGATCAGCTTCGCTGGCTCTCCGGCGTTCCCGCTCTCCAACTCTCCGGCGCTCATCATGATTGGGCTGTCAAAGCACATTAGCTACATTAATTGACAAGGAACAAGAGACATATATGTTTGTCAGTTTGTGGAAATGAGGCTGCGGCCTCACTTGATTCCCATCTTGGCGAAGACGAGCTCAGCTTGGAAGGATTTTCCTTGACCTTTGCCTCCCCAGACACCCAAGATCAGGGGAACCTGTAGGCAGAGCAAATCAGAAGGTCCAAATTTTGATCGAATGAGTGTTGGAACCAAATAAGGGAATCGATCCAAGGCTGTGGGGGATTTAGTAAGGATGGAGAGTTACCTTAATGTTAGGGAGGTTCAAGAAGTTCTTGGTGATGTGGACGACGAGCTTGTCCATGAAAGCAGGGGCAATGTACAAACCACCCATGGTGTTGTCAAAATCGTATCTGCCAACGTATGGCACAACCAACTATCAGTGACAATGACCACTTGCTGAGCCTTCGAATTACCACACTCTTAATACGGTGAAAAAACTAGTTGTTCTCAATAGCTCGATTAACACATTTCGTCAAACGAGGATCACCATAACTTGAGTAACACACTTTTAATACAGTAAGAAAATCTCTCAATCACATAACACTCTCATAACATGTTTAGGGAATAGCAATTAAAAAGACTCATCAATCTTTGGGTATTGCCCAAACACAACTTATTAGGTTTCAAATCCAGTTTGTGTAATTTTACTTTTGGGACATACTCATATCCAATTTTTTCGTGTAGGTTTAAATTGGAGTCATAGTATTGGAAGTATAAAAGAAATTGGCATCCGATTATAATGTCATTTTTGTCTTATTTTTAATTATGAGACAAATAAAAAGGTGGACTGGAGACACATATATTAAAAGTGTATAATTGGGTTGAATGTGTTTAATAAAATTGTTGATATTGTTCTTTGGTACATACAATCATTTAGACTCAACTAGACCAATTTGTGGTTAACCCAAATGAATTGACTAAAATAGGAACTAATTGAAACCCAATTCAAATTCGAAACCATTAAAAATACATATGGGTCCATTTGGTTTTGACCTAACACTCATTTGGATCATAACAACTGGGTCGAAATGTCCAATAAGTCAACCCATTACCATGTCTAACCATGTCAAAAACTAGTTGATTACACAATAACTGAAATTGTCGGAAATATTTAACTATGAATCATATACCACTTACTAACAAATACTACTCAGATCCAAGCGATTTGGTCCCTATCACACTCCTTAGACTATAGAGAGTAAACATCTTAATTCATATCCTCAATATATCCTAGGCTTACTTACTCCAAACACTATAACACGGAGGACATAGACAAGACAAGTCTATACACATGTAGATTATTGTATTCATTGAAAGAAAGCATGCAGATTGTCGCTTAACCTTTTATTAGTCATTTAACATAGAAATGATTGCCGTAAATAGAAGACTATCCAAACATAAAATTGCAACGTCACCTAGATTAGCCACCATAATAGGCGAGAAGACGAGTCATATGAACAAAAAAGGAAAACAAACACAAAACAGAGTAATTAGTGTAGTAGAGGAATTACGTACGTTCGCAGGCCCTTGCTGATGTAGTCGTAGGAGCTCATGACGGCGTAGTGAGTCCCGGCCATCTGCGGAGCCTGGAAGAGACTGTCCACCATCCCCTTCCCTCTGGTGATGTCTTGCTGGTCGTCGGACATGTCCGTCGCCAGGTGTCCCCATCTGTCCTTATCCGTCTGCTTCTCCTCGTCCACGTCCTCAGGGACAGCCGCCGCGACCACCTTGAACCCGGACTTGGGGAACGACCTTACTCCTCCCCCCAATTTCTTCAGGGTCGACCCGAAGAAAGCCGAGGTCGGCACCGATGACCCGGCACCCGACCCGTTCAAAGCCAACTGCAAGCCAAATCGAACCACGTACCCACACCGTAATTAGTTGGACTCTACTTAATTCACTAACAGAGTGGTAAGGAAGTAAGAAGAGAATGGTACCGGAGCCCGGTTGACGGCGCCGACGGTGGAGATGGCGGTTGCGGCCATGATTTGGAGTGAGTGAGTGAACTTGTTGGAGATTGAGAGCTCTGGGGAACCAGTGATGAGGAGGGGATGAAGTGAGGAACTATATAGTGGGAGTACGAGTGATCAGGAAATTGGGTAATTTTGAGGATTGGCTTAGGGAGGAAGGGAGATTGGTAACGTCCACACGATGAAGATTGGTTAGCTGCCACATTGGCAGACCAGGACAACCACCCGCTTCGGGCAGAGCCTCTGTTTCTGAGCGGGTGTGTGGATTTTGTGTGCTCTCTTTGCCACAATTAATGAATCCTTTTTCCGGTAATTCTTCTTTCCCTTTTTTTTTCTTTTGCGAATATTTGCCACACGATGGATTATATGGATGACGAGAATTATTGGTCGTTATTTTGGTTTGGGTTATGATTTCTAAGGTGGTAGTCTCTGTTTTCCCCTAATTTTGTTTCATTACTTGTGTCTGGTTCTGTCGAATTATTTCGAAGTTTGGTTTTTCATTGGAGGATTAGATTCCATTATCCGGGTCCTATTAACATTTTAATTTGCTTGTTTTTTTCCGAATATTTGTTTGTTTTTCTGGTTGCTATTTATCGAAAGGAGGACCAATTTGGTGGAAGATAACGACCAGGGAAAATGTGATGGTAGAGGGCTTGGGCCATTTGTATCAATGCGGAGAAAACGAGCCTCAGGGCAAGGACGGAAGGTGGAAGGCCCAAGCCCATCATTACAGACAGGCCCAATTCCATCAACAATTTTTTTCTAGTTGCAAAAACTTAGCTATATGTGTGGAGACAGGTCTACTAGTCTGCCAGACTACCACCACTTAGCTCGTTCTTGTTCATTAGCAGTGAACAAATAGTTCCGCTCATATGAAAGAACACTACAAATTAGAGGAAATAATAAGAATTTTAAAAAATCAGAGTACCGATGTTTGTTAGTGGTGGTGAACTGGTGATGACAGCTCAAACATGATGAACAGGGAACTGGAAAACAATTGCAAAGCTGATTCACCCCCACCCACTTCTGCATATCGAAATTGCTTACCTGGTTCTACGAGGATAGCCTCTATGCATGCAAGAAATCATAGGCAAGGTAGTAGGATGGCAGAGCTGGCAAGCAAGCAACCATAGCCACCTACAAACAAGATTTGGAACAGAAGAACATACAGAACCATGATCACAGGTCTATTGATAGAGAAAGACAATTTCATCGTTCAACTCGAAAACCTGGAACAACCTTGGAACAGTTATGAAAGGACAGAAAGTTGCCGTTGAAAACTGGCAGTCTTTGTCTCCTCCTCCAGTTGCTTTTATTTCTAGAGCCGTGAAGCATACAAGAATTACCACGGAACGAACGGTGGAAAGGAACATTGTTCAAAAAAGTTGTAAGCTCGAAGGACTGTCGCTTATTAGGTAGGTGGGTTGAACCTGATAAAAATGTAACATTAAGAAAAGGCTTAACAAGAAGGATTAACTGGTAGTAAATTATAACAAAGCATCAATAACTAAGGGAGATTATTAACCAGTACACCAGAGAAAAGCCACCATTAATCATCAGCTCTACCTTCCAAGTTGCCCGCCTAAGCTATGAATCCTGCATATAAAAACAATATCAAGCCTTCTGCTTTTCTTTTCCTGCAGCCTCAAATGTGAATGAGCCGCAATGCATCGATCCTCTCAACCTTGATTTGACACAAAGGATTAAAATTATAACAGTAACCACCCAACATCAGCGCACTAATAAATCTACTTTTGGTAATAATCAACTACCGACCATTTTCATTTGTTGTGCTCTGCTGAGCTAAGCTGCCTTTTCTGTGCAGCTACTGCCTACTAGCGCAAGAAGAGTTGTAAGAGCATGCACTTATAGCCAAACAAATCACAGATCAGAATCAATCCAACAGAACAATCCAGGAAAACAAGACTGTAGTGAGTTATCTTGGTAGAAATCTCACTGCTGTCACTGTGGGAATATCATTCACGCGGCGCACAACCTGATTGTATACCTCGAATCACCTACCATCACGATTGATCAAACGATCATGGTGGACGAGGTTTACCTTCGAAAGAAGTTTACTGTCATAGAAAAGACTCAAACTCAAGTATCAAACTTTATGCAGATATGCTACAATACTGCAGAATTCTAAAATTCGACCATTTTTTGGTTTTCTCGTCACCTACTGATATTACTAGGCCAAAAGTTTAGATAATTGATACACCACTGTACTTGGCTAAGGCTAATGATGGCTAGTGTTTACAGATAAAGTAGCATTTGAAGCAATCATCGCTCATTTTTAGAGCCCAACTAATGATAGTGATGATTAGGTCTTCCATCAGTGTCTTATTTACAAGAGAATTTTATTGAAATAGAAATGCTCTTTTGTTTGAGGCATTAATATGGAAAGAAAGCATATACCCAATTTGAGAATCGACAAATGTAGCCCATAAAGGGGACCCTAAAGACACCTACTTTTGTGAAAAAGTGAGAATGTCTCTTGGTACAGAAAAAAGGATATACGACCCCTCACCACATGCCTTACTATAAACAGCAAATAAAACAAGTTCCTAAACCAATTCCATTCCACCCTTGGTACCAGGTTTAAAGTTTAAACCCCCTCCACTCGAAGAGAGGTTAGAAAAGGAAAAAAGTGGGAAAACAATGACAGGTCTAGGCTCTTCATGTGGTGCATGCAAGTTCCTAAGAAGAAGGTGCATGATGAAAGAGTGCGTTTTTGCACCTTACTTCAGTTATGATCAGGCTGCAACCCACTTTGCAGCAGTGCACAAAGTTTTTGGGGCCAGCAATGTTTCAAAGCTACTACTTCACTTACCTGTAAACTATCGAGGTGATGCTGCAGTGACTATTGCTTATGAGGCCCGAGCTCGCATGGGGGATCCCATATATGGCTGTGTTTCCTACATCATAGCACTCCAACACCAGGTTTCAAGCTCTTTCTTTGTCTCTTCATGCGTGATCATATCCCTGTAAGAATCAGCTAGAAGAATTTCACTCAGTGTTGGAAAGGAACAAGACTTCACAGACCACCAATCTTACCTATGTGTCTGTCCGCAGGTTTCCAGCTTACAACAGGAGATTGAAATTCTTAGCCACCAAATGGGTTTGAACTCTGTCATTGGGGTTGCTGGCAGCTCTAGTAGTTTGCATGCAAGTTCTTCTGCCTCAAACTGCGAAACACAACTTTCTCCACATCCAAATGCTATAAACACACAGTGCCAACAGAATCACGAAAATATAATGGCTGGAAATCAAGATTTTGACAGCAAGATGATCCCAGAGCTTGCCACTGTGTATGGATGGGAAAATCACAACCCCTTCTGCAACTCTCCCCCATGCAGCTTAGATGACCTCCTTAAAGGAGTTGACATTGAGTTGTTTCCATGTTGGCCTGACAGCAGTAACAATGGCAACTAAGAAGAAGCACCACCTCAGGATCAGAAGCAGTAGATCAGCTTGTATAACAGGAGATTCTTTTGTCGCCATATGTGGGCAAAAGTTTTGTTGTATCTCCATATTTTGTAACTAGAAATGTAGATTGTACAGTATGGTTTTGGGTTTCAAACCAAACGGAACTTCAGTGAATTTCAAAATATCTCACCATCCAGAACAGATCAACTACACAAGTTATCAGTTATCACTTGGCTGTAGCCTGTAGGTGAACGAAATGTCTCTCACTATTTGCATGATCACCAAATATGTACAGCGTACTGTTGCAAGAGCAACGAAGTGCACAATAGAATAAAAAATGCATCGACCTGCTGAAACATCAGTAGAATTCCTTCCATTCGATACAAGATATGTTTAATGGAAAAAAGACAGGGAAAGGATTCTTATTCGGGTAAAAAAGATGGTTCTTCAATCAAAAAAGTTTCTAATCAGAACATGTCATACGGTATAGAATCTACTTGACATAAGCAGCCTTCAACATTGATGAACATGACACGAAAATCAAGCTCTCCAACTGCTGCACCAACTAGTCTCTGATATTCAGCCACACCATCGCCATATGAACTTCGGCAAAGCTTTTAACAATCATGTGTGTTGCAGTTTATGTGGTGACTAAGAAGGTTACATGCTGCTGGTAAAAGGACCGAAATTAAATCAGTAAGCAGAGGCACAAGAAGAACAAGCAAATGACAACAACAAAAGAAATCTAAGCCTACCTCAGGCGCACCATTCCCTGGCATTCTGGAACATCTTCAACCACGGGCTAGGGCCTTTCTTGTCTACATTCCAGTTGGTTGGGTACCAGGGGAATTGCCACATTAAGAAGCAACGTTCGGGATGAGGCATCATTGCAAGATGCCGCCCATCAGGTGAGCAAATTGCAGCTACTCCTAATGGAGAACCATTCATATTAAAAGGGTAAGTTTCTGTGGGATTGCCATCATCATCAGCATATCTCACTGGTGCTAAATTCGAATGAATAACTCGATCAAGAACACCATCGTCAGGGAAATATGCCCTCCCCTCGCCATGCGCTGCCCACACTCCCAGTGTACTACCTTCCATTCCTTGGAGCATTATAGCAGGAGAGTCTTGTATGGTCACACTTGTGAACCGGCACTCAAACCGACCAGACTCATTGTGAATAAATCTTGGCTGTGAAGGGTCACCACCAGCACCAAGCACACCACCAACTTGTGGACCAGGGACCCACCCCAAAAGAGCCATGAGCTGGCAACCATTACAAACACCGAGACTGAAAGTATCTGGTCGCTTATAGAACTCCTGGAATTGGGCCAGAAGAGGCTGGTTGAACCGAATTGAGGCGGACCAACCTTTTGCAGAATCAAGCACATCAGCATAGCTAAAACCTCCCACAAACACGATACCCCGGAATTCGCCAAGAGATACGGCTCCTTTGAGAAGATCGGACATAGCTATATCCCATGGTTCAAACCCAGCAGCATAGAGTGCAGCAGACATTTCCCTGTCTCCATTGCTTCCTTCCTCCCGGATTATGGCCACTTTGGGTTTTGAAGTTGCAGAGAGATATTTGTCATCAGTAAAGGATGGGGTGAAAGACAATTTCCACAACGGCTCGTGTCTAAATTTCAAACCTTCCTTCTCTGACTCCACACATGAAGCCAATCTTTGAAACTTCTCAAGCTGAAAACTGGCATCCTCCCACATGTCTCTGAGAAGAGTAGTTTCTTCTTTAAATTGAGTTTGCCCATCAACAATGAGTTCCACCATGGGAGAGGCAGTTACTTGACCAATAATTTCAGCAGTAACACCTCCACTGTTAAGTTTTCCCATTACCTTGTCTAAATTTTGCCTGCTAACCTCAACAATCAGGCCAAGCTCTTCTGCAAATAGGGTCTGGAAGAGACCTTTACCCTGTGACCGCAAGTCCAAAATAAACCCACGATTCCCAGCAAATGCCA